ATATCCTGCTTGGCTTCCATGGTCCTGCCTTTTGCCATCCTCCAGTCCAGGAATGGAAGCTATTTCCAAAGTTCTGATTTCAGTTCTTTCTATAGTTTCTCTTTCTTAGTCATTGCCTACATTTTTATGACTTTAACTACAATCTATGTTGATGACTCTCACATATTTCTGACCTCTCCACCCACTTTTCCATGGGCTTGCTGGATATTTTCACACTGATGTCCTTCTGACACCTCCACCTCAAAGGGTCTAAAATGCAACTTGTCAAATTCCCCTTCAAAACTCTTGTTCCAGCCTAGCTCAAAACTTGTCATCTTCAACTTTTCCCTTCCCCTCAATTGGTTTGCTATAGTTTAGGATGGAAAATTTTCTTCTTCCTGACCCATTAAATTATGAACTTGTGTCACAACTTGCTACATCTAGAGGAGTACTGCTGTAGATGTTTCTGGCATTGTATTTTTAAAAATTTATCTTCAATTTTATTTAATTTTAGTCATTGTCATTATTTTATTTTTTGAAGTTGACCAGAGAGAGAGGGAGAGAGAGAGAGAGAAATGAAAAAGCAAGCTGCCAGGTCTGGGACTAGAATCATAGTCAGCCATGTGGGAGTCCAGCCCCCTGGCATTGTATTAAAAACCCTTTACTCTCTTGGGACCAGCAGTTGCCGTAATGGCTATGTAGCTGGACTCACGCGTAGTCGACCGCAGTTCGCGTCCTGGACCTGGTGGCTTAAAACTCATACCGGGCGTGTGTGCGTGCATGCCCAAGATCCCGAGAGGAGAACGGAGGAGAAGGGATCGTGGCGTGGCCATCCCCCCTGGGGGGTGATTTCTCGCTTTCTGTCTGTCTCTGTCTCTCTCTGTCTGTCTGGCGAGCGCACACACCCTATAGCAAAAACCTCTCAACAAACAAACAAACAAACAAAAACACAAAAAACAAACAAACAAAAAAACCCTTTACTGTCTCTTACCTTTGGGAGGTGCAAAGACTTAGTGATGGGGTAAGTTGGGTGCTGAGGGGAAGGGGCTGCAAGTCAGTAATGGGTAAGGCTGATGTGTAAGAGTCTCTTCATGGGACCAGTAGCTGGTGTAATGGTTACATTGCTGGGCTCCCATGGAGTTGACTGTAGTTCAAGTCCCAGACCCAGTGACTTAAAACTCACAGCAGGCACATGTGTGTGCGTGCGTACCCAAAATCCTGAGAGGAGAATAAAGGAGAAGGAATTGTGGCATGGCTATTCCCCCTAGGGGGTGATATCTCACTTTCTGTCTTTCTGTCTCTCTCTGTCTTTCTGGCAAGCACACGTGCCCTATGGCAAAAATGTTTTTTAAAAAAGAGTTCCTTCTTACAGATGGGACTGTCTCCTGCCCAATCATCCTTTGTGTTTCAATGACTGGGAAATGTCAAAGACTAATCTCTCTAAAAGAATTTGTATAGGTTGGGCTGCTTTCTGCCCTAGCGTTGGGGAGGTCCATCTTTTTTCAGCTGTGACTGAGTGGCATTCTAAATTAGGGGGAAAGAAATAAGATGCCTCATTTTTAGTATTGAGTTTAAATTGTTTTTCAATCTAACTTTACCCTGAATAAAGTTAATATTTGAATTTCCTGTTGATTCATCATTTCTATTCCCAATTTGGATGAGGCTCAAAAGAAAGAGAGCTGTATGATAGATCAACTTCTTTATTTAAACAGTTTTTAAAAATAATTATTTTATTTATTTTTATTACTTAATTTGCTACAGGGTGTGTGCACTCACCAGAGAGAGAGACAGAGAGAGAGAGAGAAAGAGAGAGAGAGAAAGGAGACCACCAGGCCTGGGATTTGAACCACAATCAGCCATGTAGGAGTCCAGAGCCTTAACCACATCCCTTGGTGGCCCTGTTATATGAACTTCCACATACCTGATACCAAACTCTCTTAGCTATTTTCCCCAAATCTTCCATTTTTTAAAAGAATTATTTATTTTATTAATTTATTATAATTATTTAATTTTCTATAGGGCATGTACACTCACCAGAGAGAGAGAGAGAGAGAGAAAGAGAGAGAGAGAGAGAGAGAGAGAGAGAGAGAGAGGGAACATGAGAATGCCAGGTGCCTGGTCTGGGACGTGAACTGCAGTTAGCTGTGTGGGAGTTCAGTGCCTAAACCACCATGCCACTGCTGGCCTCTCCCAAACTCTTTTATCTTCTCTTGGGAGACAATGCTAACTTACTGTCATAAGAAAGCAAATTATACATAACTTTTTCTTTATGATTTGTCTTTCTTGGTATAAAAAATTTTGGTCATGAGCCTTTCTCCTTTAATCCTTTCTCTCCAATTGTGTGTGTGTGTGACTTTTATACAATGCCAATTATTCTTTTTTTCCAATTAAAACTTAGTGAAAGAAAAGGTAAAATCCTAGGGCTGGCAGTGGCATGGTGGTTAAGGGCGCTGGACTCCCACATGGCTGACCACGGTTCAAGTCCCTGGTGGCTTGCTTTCTCACTTGCCTCTCTCTCACTGTCCCTCTCTGGTCAAATAAAGTAAATAAATAAATAAAGCTGAATAAAATACATTTTTTTTTAAAAAGGAAAGATAAAATTCTACTATAGTAACTTTTTTTTTGGAGAGGTTTTTTTTGGTTTGTTTGTTTGTTTGTTTTGCAATAGGGCATGTGCACTCGCCAGAAAGACAGAGACAGACAGAGAGACAGAAAGTGAGAAATCACCCCCCAGGGGAATGGCCACACCACAATCTCTTCTCCTCCATTCTCCTCTCGGGATCTTGGGCACCCATGCACACGCGCCTGGTGTGAGTTTAAGCCACCAGGTTCGGGACTTGAACCACGGTCAACTACATGGGAGTTCAGCGACATAACCATTATGCTAACTGCTGGTCATTACTATAGTAACTTCTGAAAGGACTGATTGGCTGATTTAATATTTATTGAATTTCACAATGTATTAGGCACCACATAAACACAAAGAAAGAGCCATTAATAACATGCCATTATTTTGGGGGAAATGATAAATTAGCAACAACGAAGCAGAAAATAACAACAGAACAAAATACTAAATTCTTTCAAGGCTTGGGTTTGCTTACTATTTGTACCCCTAAGATAACTGATGCATAGAACAGAAACGAATGCATTTAAAATGAAGTATCTATAATCCTACTGCATGGCAGGAAAGCGTTTGCCTGCCAAGAGAGATAAATGATGTTCTCTTGTGCACTTGAAACTTATAAATTGCTGCAGCAAGACTGGATGATAACAACTGTGCTAAAATAATAGCTCAGAAAACCATAATTGCTAGTTAGTTGCATTTTGTTGTTAAAAATGCAGAGTTTGGGGTAAACTGGCTACTGTATTTGTAGTACTAGATACATTTCTGTTCAAGGATATTTAAGCCATTTTAACTCCTTTACACATTTTAGTCAATGAGAAGCATAAAGTTAGGATGACCTTCCTAAATTCTGGTATTATTTCTACCCAATGTTTGCAAAAGCTTAGCTCAGTTTTGTTGTGTTTTAAATGACTCTACCATGTCACTGTTGAGTCAATGTGACAGAGAATTCCTTCTTTCCTGATGTGCCACATATTGCAGGCTCTCAGGATTCTCTTCAATAACCCCTGCATAATGGGCAGGAATAGTTTCTCACTGCAGTGGGCTGCGGTATCAGGAAACCTAAAGCCATGTGCATATGATGCAGTGCTACCTGTCAGCCTCCCAGAGTGCCAGGGACCTAGGAACCTCTGCTGGCATCCAGCACAGCCTACACTCTGGCATTCAGGAGTCCCACTTGACAGCATCTCCCAGCAATATCCCTTCCATCTACCACCCAAATCAACTCCATGAGTGAGATAGTAACACTTGAATGTTTATTTTATTTTAGAAAATCAGCTAAAAAAAAAAAAAAAAAAAAGGAAAAAAAAAAACCCTTAAAGAAAACCAAACCAAACCAAACTGTGACCATTGTTTTCTATGTATATGAAATATGAATCTGGCAGTTAAGAGATTGCATTAGGCTATGTCTTCGATTTTCTTTCACGTTTATATGTGATAGTATGCTATCAGCCTTAAAAACATTCCTGGTTAAGCTTTTATGCAGCGCTGTACGGTGGTTTTGTATAGTTAGAAAACAATATTGATTCTGAGATGCCTATAAGCAAATGAAACTTAAGTATTCTTACCAAATCTTTAACTGCTTTTCAGAATTTTACAAATTTTTACAATTGTCTCTTAAATATTCCAAACGAAGAGTCCAACCTACTAGTTATTATGAAACTCCACGAATGCAGTAATGTGCTACCTTATCACTCTAACTGTGGTTTCCTCATGCAAGTAAATGAAACCAAACCAAACAGACCCAGGCCCACACAGGAAAAGCCAGCTTTGCCTTGGGGGCAGCAGACCGCGGTACTGCACCGGCCCGCCAAGGCCGCAAGATGCCGCAGACTGCTGCAGCAAGACTTCCTGGCCAGGTGGCCCTGGTCCGCGGGCCATGCCTCCTGCATGGGCATTGCACCAGCGTCCACAGACAAGTCCCCCAGCCATCAACTGCAATATACTTTTTGGATGGGCATGAAGAAGTGTCAGGGAGGAAGCAAAGGAGAGACAGAGCGAGTGTGTGAGCGAGTGTGACAGATCACCATTCCCTCACACACCCTACAAAATTTCTCCTCAAAATATTTATATATCAATCCGCAACTTCCTTCATTTGTCAGGCGCTTACATCACAAGTCGCCTCTCCTTTCAAACGCACTAAATCAGTCGTTTTTACGGTGAGCGCACGGATGCAAGAGGACCTAAGGTGCCGGTTCTCCACTGCCACCAAGTTTGGGGTGGAACAGTTTGCGTCTGCAGATCACGGCATTCTGCTCCCGAACGCTCCGAGTTTACAAGGGGCTTGGAGATGGCTGGGCTCCCGTTCCTGGGGGACCCCAATTCCCAGGGAAGGCCCTTCCCGATGTTCGCGCCTCAGGGTGCGAGGAACCCTCCCGCCCCCAAAGCAATAGCTCACCCGGCTGCATCCTCCAAAGCCCCGACCTCGGGGCGGAGCGCAGGGAGGTGGGGGTGAGGATAGCACCTCTTGGAGGCTCCCGCCAGCACCTCAAGGTTTTCCCCCCGGCTCCTTGGCGCCCCCTGACGCCGGACTCCCCAGCAATTCCACCGAGGGGGGCTGGATTGGTGGCAGCCCCAGGTGTCCAGGCAGCGAAGAGGCGCTCGCCTCCGGCGTTCGCGGACGGCGCGGACCAG